AAAGATTACCTTTGATGTATGAAATTTTTTTATGGATGAATTATTTAGTTGTTCTCATGATGTGAATGGTTGTTAGTTTGTAATGCCGTCCAGGGTGGTCTTTGGGGCGTTACATGTACACAGCTTATGAGTTTGAGAGTGCTCGATACAAGAGAGAGTCTACCCGAACTATGTGTTAGTTATGATCCTGGTGAAGGGGATGTTGTGACGTGGTGTCAAGTTATGTGGCATTCAAGGGTATTTTCGTGGGTTGATGAGTGATCAACGGGTTGACAAAGGATCCCCGATTTTAGGAGTGTCATAGCTCTAATAAATCTTCTCTATTTTTTAGTCTCCCTTTGTCCTCTCAATATAGCAAGCAATAGCTGCCTATCCATTCGAGTGTCTCCCTCCTCGTTAATTGGCTCCGCATCAACCAAATTCAAAAACTGGTCAGCCTGCTCCTCCACTAGAATCTACTGTGCACCTGCCTATACTCTAGCACTGTAGTCACACTCTTACTCTTCTACACAGACCCAGAATTCAAGGTAGTGACCTTTGTGTCTACTGCATGTCAGGCTCAATCACTATTCCCTTCTCAACACAAATGGTAGTAACCAATCTTGCAAAAGGCGATGATCACTTCTTCTCCTACACCACCCCTTCATCATCTCATCAAAAATAAAATTCGGTCGATTAATAAAGAAACTAGTGTCCATAATATAAAGTAGTCTGGGCCTATTAGGATAAACATGATTCTTTCTACATAGGGGCATCAAATTTGACACATTAATAACTTAAAATTTTAGCTAAAATAATTATTCCCAAATTATGATGCCAATCCATGAATAAAAATGTAATTCAAAGATTTAATAGGCAACACCCCAAACAGATAACCAAACTAGATGCATCTATTAACCAAAAGAAAAATTGTTCATTAGCAAAAATTTTAAACTAACAACTGACTCAATTGATCATGCCTGGAATATCTAACTACTACCATCACAAAGGCTTTGATCATAGACAATGTGTTTAAAAACCATACCACTAAAAAGAAAAAGTGACATAGACTAGGACCGTAAAAACAACATTGAGACAACAACCTTGGAGCATTAAAAAGAAGGACTGGGATAATCTTAGGAGCTCTGACTCTTACTGTGAAAGAAGGCCTCATGTTGAGTCAGCTAAGTTTTAGTCAATCTTCTCTCTTTCTTGGTCTCCCTTTATCCTCTCAATATAGCAAACAATAGTTGTCTGTCCATCTGAGAATCTGTCTCCTTTTTAATTGGCTGCTCATCCAAATTTAGAAACAAGCAATTGGCTCTTCCATTGGAATCTAATGTGCACCTATCTGCGTCTCCCTGTGCTCTAACCTGTGTACTCACACTCCTACTCTTTTGTATAGACCTAGAATTTAGGACTATGCCCCTTAGGTGTTTGCTACATGTCAGGCTCAATCACTACTCCTTTCTCAACATAAATGATAGTGACCAATCCAACAAAAGACAATGATCACTTCTTCTCATCCAGCGCCCCATTCATTATCTCATCAAAAATAAAATTCGATCGATTAACAGAAAAACTAGTGCCAACAACATAAAGTAGTCTTGCCCTTTTAGGAAAAACATGATTGTTTTTACAGAGGGGCACCAAATTTGACACTTAAACAACTGCAAATTCTAGCTAAACTAATTATTCCAAAATTATGATGCAAATCCATGAATAAAATTGTAATTAAGAGATTTAATATTCAACATCAGAAATAGATAACAAAACTAGATGTATCTATTAAAGAAAAGAAAATTTGTTCATTAATTGAAATTTTAAACTAACAAATGACTCAAGTTATCAAGCCTGGACTCTGTAATTACTCTACCACTAAAGTCTTTGATCATAGACGATGTGTTCAAAAATCATAGCATTGAAAAGAAAAAGTGACATAGAATGAGACCATAAAAGCAACATTGGAACCACAACCTAGGAGCACTAAGAAGAAGGATTGGGACGATCCTAGGAGCTTTGAGTCAAATTGCAGAAAAAGGCCTCATGTTGATTCAGCTGAGCTCTAATCAATCTTCTGTCTTTCTTTGCCTCCCTCTGTCATCTTAATATAGCAAACAATAGTTCATATGTCCGAGTGTTTGTCTCCTCGTTAATTGGGTCCTCGTCATCCAAATTTAGAAACTATTCAACCTGCTCCTCCACTGGAATCTCCTAAGCACCTGCCTGCGCACCTCCCTGTGCCCTTGCCAGTGTAGTCACATTCCTACTCTTCTACATATAACCAAAATTCAAGACGGTGACCTTGGGTGTTTGCTCCATTTCATGTAGGATTTAATATGACTCATGATTTTGCACATGTGATTTTACTAATTATTATTGCATAATTAGTTTGGGTCAGATAATGATAAGGTTACCAATCCTAATCTAACTGGTATAACTAATGGTTTCTAATTGATCAATGAGAAGAAGTGGTTTCCTGATGTCCTTCTTTGATGGGAATTGGAATTTATATTGAACTAGGGAACCAGTCCTCTCTCTACCTATAAATGTACACATGCCCTATTGAATTATGTATTGTAAGAATAAAAGTCAAGAGAGAAACCGATTTCTGGGCTACACCAAAGGATGGTTTAATTCTTGATCAATAATTCTAGGTTTGCGTTTATGGCCCCAAGTGTGTCGATTATGATGTTATGATATTTTTCATTCCACATAATGATATGTGAAAATCATGATTGTTCTAGATCTTAGAATTAGGGTTTGATTGTTCTCTTTGTTCAAATAAATTTTACATGTGGTATCAGAGCTTGAGTTAAGAACTCATAATTTTCCATTAAAAATATACATATGACCATTATGTATCACTGTGTGAATTAAGAGGCTAAGCATCAAGGAAAGCCTATAACAATACTTGATGGATACAGTATTCTGTTCATGGATTTCTATTTAATTACGTTAAGTCCATGCTAACTATTAAGGTTTATAATAATGGCAAAGTTTTCTTTAGTGGGAGGTTTGATTCATACTAGATCCATTACTGTTTATATGGATGTTTGGTCAAATTTATGATGAGGGTCAATTTTGTTGCTGTTATTCTTTCATTGGTTAAACTTAGAAGAATTATGCCTGGGCATCATTAATGCTCATAAGAAATTCGTTTTTCCATTGTTTGTTCACATGACTTTTAGGAGTCAGACCTGATAATGGGTTTTAGTATTTTTGTTAGATTCTCACTAATGGCTTTGGGGCACTAACGAATTGGATGAGTGATTTTAACATGACTATTATCATTATGAAAATAGTTGTCAAACAACATTCCTTCTTGTAAATTGATGTCATGCTATGTCATCTATTAGAATGATATTTAGGGTACAACATTCACTCATGCTATGCCATCTCTCTCTTTCCTATTTTCTTTTCCTCTATCTCCATTACTCTTTCAGTATCTCTCGCCTAGTTCCTCTCCATCTCTTTCTCTACTTTACTCTCCCTATATCTCTTGTATTTTCTCTTTCTATCTCCTATTGATAATTTTTTTTCTTTTCAAATATTTAGAGATTTGATTTTTTTTTTCATCTCTCTCCCTATTCTCTCTCTCTCTCACTCTCTTCTCTATTTTCTATCACCATTACTCTCCCTCTATATATCAATATTACAATAACACAATTACACTAATTAGTTACATCAATTAGTTACAATTTTCCTATAATACACCAAACAATTATTCATGCGTACAACAACCCAATTTGTCATTCAGTTTACATTTTTTTTGGTGAACCTCGACGACATGAGGGAGTTTTATTGATTTCAAATAAAGTCTAGTTACATGGAATAATGAAATAAATAAAAGAAAGAAAACTACGCATTCTTAGTACATCTGTCCTAAGTTTGCTGCCTTCTTAACTAACTGATGTAGGAACTCAGCTAGCTCCAGTCTAGCTGAGTTGCAGCCCTTTGAAGCAAATGAATTCCATGAAACTAGTCCATTTGCAATTCTAGATGAACAGTAACGTGAACAATGAGATAGTTATTGTATAGCAGTAGTCCAACAAACAGTTGTCTCCATGTTGAGCTGGAGCTATTCTCTTTGAATAAAATCTTCCCAACGTTAGATGAAAAGGCAAGAAATGGTGGGCATTATATCACAATCATTCTGCTGAAAAATCCTTGAAAATCCTCATTTAAATTGGTAAAGACTGATTGAATGATGTCCATGAAATCCCAAAATCGGCGCCCTTGATATCTGAAAGATTTCCATCAAATCCTTGAAAATTAGCTCCCTTAATGCCTGAATCCATATCTATTGTTCTGCTTTGGAATTTTGAACGTTGTAATGGATTTAGATTTGGACCTAGTGATTCTTGGCGAATCTTTCCTAACTGGAAAATTATGCAACACCAATGTTAAGGCAGTTAGCTCCTCCTCTTTCTGTTTCCTTTTCTTCTCAGCATTTGTGAGCCTTCCTAGCAATTCTTTGGATGTAACCATAAAAGAATCATACTCTAATATAGGTGCAATTTCCTCCTCTCCATCTGAGTAAAAACCTCTTGTATTTTCATGAAAAAAAGGTTGTTTGACATAATCATCTTTAGAGAAAATGCCTTTTGCTTTTAATACCTGATGAATCTCATCAGTGGACATTGTTGGAATTAACTCTTCTTGACTGTGGACACTCTAATGAACCGCATCCACCATTTTCTGGGTAACAAGTATTGGTTCGTACCATGAATCATGATTTTGCTTATTTATAACACATGGATCATAATCAATGGGAGCTTCTACCAAAGAGTCTTCAAAACTAGAATCAAAATATTCATCTGAACTGGAACAAATCTCACCATCCTCATGATTCAAATTAGGCAATTTAAAAGAAACTTATCTTGTATTCTTGCTGGGCACTACCATACCTGAATCGAAAATCAAGAACTCTAAAGTGGCTTAAATGGAATAATCTCCATAGGACCACACCATTCTGGTCTCAAAAATTTCTTGGTCACATTCTCACCATTTTTTTCCAACTAATGGACTGTTGAATCTTGAGATTGTAGATGCATATGGTTTTCTAAGCTCGAAGGCCTAACCTGCACTTCTCTATCCTCATTTCCATTGGAGTTCCTCAATTTCTTAAGAAGCACCATCATCTCTTTCCCTTTCCTAAACCTTTTCTTCTCATAAATTTCCTTATGCACTTTGAATCTTCTAGTCTTCAATAGTCTCCACTTCCTTTCTTGTTTCTTGTCTTGGGTCTTTGTCACCTTATTCTTATGTCCAGCCCCTAAAGTCTTCATAGCAACTATTGGCTTCTCAGCACCTTTTGGATTCATGTTAATGTCATTTATGAGCATATCCTGATTTGCATCAAGCTTGTAAACTGCTTAATTAACAACCACTTTCTCTTCTTGTGTATTTCCCAGGATAATTTGCTCCTTTCGTTTCTCCTACTCCATCCCTTTTTATTTCACTATATCCGTAGTTTTCCTCTTCTTTCTACATTCACTCTCCACAAGGCCTTGCTTGGAACAAACTTTATAATATTTTCTTTCTTTCTCATTAATAATCTTTTGCCATAGATCCTTCAATCCTTCCATATCAAGCTTGATTTGATATGGATTTTCTTTTAACAGATTTACCAATACACACACCCTTGCTACACTTTGCCTTGAAAGATTTAGCATTGGACCATCCACTGCCAACACCTTTCCAATTGGGCTCAATAGGATTTGTAAATGCTTTCTAGGGAACCAAAGCAATGGTAATGAAGGAAGGGATACCCACATGAGCATAATAAGTTGATTCTGTTCCTAATTCAAACTCTGCAAACCATTTGAAAAAGCAAAATAAATTTCCATTTATGCAGGTTATATCTTTTAATAAAACCTTTATGAGATCCTCATGAAGAGTGAGCTTTAATAGTATATGTCTAGGGTCCAAACTTCCCACATAAAATTCTCCTTTAAGAAGCCATTTAGAGTTTATAAAGTCTCTGATATAACTTAAAGAAGGGTGACCAAAAGAACACTTACCAATGACAGCAAGCTGTAGCGGCTTGAAGGCCTCATTCATTTCTTCTTTAGTTCAAACTATTGTCATTTCCCCATTGATAACGAGTTGTATTTTAGTTGGCTTTGCTATAGTAGCCAGAGACTGCGAATTCGGATTTGCATAGCCATGAAGCTATTTTTGGAAGAAAGATGCATAGAAAGGCTCGTTGAGGAAATCGTGACTGCTTCCAATGATTTTGAAGCAGCTACAGGGTTATTGGATGTAGGAATAGGCAAAGAAGGAAAATAAATTGATAAATCTGGGGGTTTGGGAGGGATAAAGTCATGACAAAGTGTTGAAGGCATAAGAATGGAGTTCTAGAGAGAAGACAGAGCTTCTCTCTCTAACGCCAATGTTGAATGACTTGATAATAAATTGAATATTCCAGTTGTTTACATAAACCAAAGAGTTGCTCCATTTAATATCACAACATGGTTACATAAATTATATACATCAAATTTGATGTAATGAAAGTCTATTTTGTAATAATAAACTCAATTTAGTGCATATAATTAGTGTAACTATGTCGTGATACTAAATAATGAAACTCTTTTGTTTTGGTAAACAACTGAATGACAAATTAGGTTGGTGTTATAATTTTGTATAAGTATTTAGTGTAATAGTTTGGTTTATTAGAACACATGAGTAATTGTTTGGTGTATTAGACAGTAATTGTAACTAATTGGTATAACTGATTGGTGCAATTGTGTTGTTGTAATGTTGATATAAGAAGAGAGAATAAGGAAAGAAAAAGTAACGGTGAGAGAAAATAAGGGGAGAGAGAGTGAAAGAGAAAAAATAGGGGGAGAGATGAAAAAATTAAATCAAATCTCAACTCTTTACATATTTGAAAAAAATAAATTATCAATGTGAGAGAGAGATGATAGAGACAAAATAGGGAAGAGAGAGTGAGACAAGCGTAATATAGATATGAAATCAAAATAATAAAATTACATAAATTATTAGGTCAACAATTAATCCTTATACAAATGACAATAAATCGTTAATCGTTTATCGGTATGACATATGAAATCATTCATGACAATGAAATAGATAAATAAAACTTGGGGAATTTAGAAGCTGGTACAAAAATTTAGACTTAATTGAGTTAAACTACATTAAGGAACGTATTTGACCCTAAGTAAATTTTTTTGAAAAAAGACTAAAAGGTCATTTATTACTTCATTACTCTCTCTCTCTCCCTCTCTCTCCATTAAAATAATAGTCTATGTTATTTTATTTATTTAATTTGAGATCTATTTTATGATATAGTTCAGTACTCATCAAAGTGACCCAACTAGAATGATTTATAGATATTAAATCACATAATTGATTTTAATATCCAATATCTTGTGATATTAAAATAATCATTTATATAATGTTATTATTTTGATTTAATGCCTATATTATGATATAGTTCGGTAGCTGCCAAAGTGGCCCAACTAGGATGATCTGTAGGTATTAAATCATATAATTGATATTTATTACCCATTACCAAGGTATTAAAATGATGACTTGCAAATCGCAGTTGTGAATCATTTGGATATTAGGAATTGGCCCAAAGGTGCACAACTTTTCAAATGATCATTTAACTGGAATAGGATAATTGTTGTATATTCATAATGGGTGTGAAATGGATGCCCAAAGGTGACAGACATACCTAATTATTAATATATTTATCAATTAGTCTTATTAGGTGATAGGGAATCACCATAATGCTTAAAGTTTTAGTATATCATGATTACTACCCAAAGGAGGATCACGATAGTACTATTTATTACTTATTAGAATATATATTTTATTCTAACTCATTGTTAAACTTAGAGACGATTCAAAGCATCAATGTAGTGATCATTTACCTTCTTTTATTGTCAGTTTATGTATTCTTACATTCGCATGCTTTGTTTGATTCAATACTTTATGGAATGAATATTTTATGATTGGTGTGAACAAATTCAGTTTCATTTATGTATTTTGACTACTTGTCTGACATGTTACTACGATTACTAAATCAAGTAGTTCTAATTGTAAAACCTGGAAAAATTTAAATTTTTATGAAGAAAGGGAAAAACGGTAATTAGCCGCTACGGTATAGGTTGAAAACTCAATTTTTTTCTAAAAATTGAACGGCAAAACGGACCACACTGTTGGATTCATTTCGCGAAATCTAGTTATGCAGTCAATTTTTGTTGAATTCTGAGACAATCTATTTTTTTGCGTTTTACAATGTGATCAAGTGTCGCACGATTAAAATAAATGCCATCAAGTTTTAAATGCTAAACATGGAAAATAATTTAAATTTAGTTCAAATAAAATATATTAAATGTAACATGAGACGAGATTTAATTAATTCGGGGACAAAATTGGATCAGGAAAAGATGGGACAAAATCGAATCAAGAAAAGACGGGACGTGTTGTGCAACAAGGGCCAAATATTAAGGGGTATAAATAAAGGATAAAATAAATTTTTTCACCCTATTTTACACCAGATTTTTGGTAGAGAGAAAGAAGAGATAGAAATGAGGATTTCTTCCATTATTCTTCTTTCAATATAGGGCCAACCGTTCGTCGAAACGATTTGGGGTATGAATTAAAGTTGATCTGTGTGACGAGAACTTCGTCTACGTACCAAAAATTGGGAATTTCGCCGAAGTCTAAAAGACAGAATTTTTTAAAACTAAGGTTTGAAGCTTGAATTGGGTTCTTTGAAGTTTCTACCACTCGTTTTACGCTTCAAGAGATAGGGTTCTTATTTAGCTAGGTTTACTTTCCACCTAGTGTTTCGTATGAAATTGTTAGTTTGATTTGAGATGTAATCCCTTGTCTAAATGTATTTCTAGTGTAACGAGAGTATGAGAAGTGATATGAGAATGAATAAAACCAATTTTTCGTGAATTTTGTTTGTTGAAATTGCTTGATTTAGTATTTTATGAGAATGTGATAAATTGGGCATGATTATGTGTTTACTTGATTTTGTGCCTTTTGAGTGTTTGATAAAATGCCTATGTTGATTTAACATGTTTGTTTCATTGAATTTTGACGATTTGGATTGTAATTATATGCTTTTGATATAATATGCTTATGCCTATGTTGGATTGTAATTATATGCTTTTGATATAATTGACGATTTAGAAATGTGATATAAATTGAGCATGTTCATTATATGCACATGAGATTTTGGACATGTTGAACATGATGTTGCAATTGCAATTGAAAACTTGGTTGCATAATAATATAAAATACAATTACACATTACACTGCATATAAACGGGAAGTGACTTGATTCAAAATGTGTACACCCAAGTGCAGATGGTCAAGTTGTAGTAATAATCCCGTTAAGTCTTGGAGTGGAATCCACAGGGAACTAATGTTGGTATTTTAGTGTAAATAGTGGCAAGGACCAAAGTGACTGAAAACCTTGAGATTTGAAGTTATGGTGTTTATGGGATTTCCAAGACAGAATATAAGATTCTTTCCAAGGGATTTTCTAGAAAAAATATAATATTATCTCAAATGTAAAAGTCACCATTTAGCTGAAGGATCTGTATATGTAGTCAATCATCCAGTTGTTATATTTGTGCTTGGGAACTCAATTAACCCCTGTGTCAACAACAAGTTAATTAGAGGATAAAGATGGTTTGTGAGAGTTAAGAGCATGGTTCCGATGGCTTTGTAGAGACTTACAAGAATTGTCTTTGCCGAGACTTAACCCATCTACAAACAAGCAAATATCTCTATAAACCATCCAACCACTACGTTAGTATTCTATTTAGTTGAAGCACAACAATGCTGAAGATTGAAATATAGTCATGAAGATCTAGCTAGTGTACATGCAAAGAACCAATGAGTCCTCTTATGCCAAAAGTCATCTTTGTCCTAGACAGGGCTCATGGTTGTACAAAGTACCTTAGCTTTGCTAGATGCATTCAATAATTCAATAAGCAAGTAAAAGTTAAAACATTAAGCATAAAAGAAATGCACAAAAATAAATCCCGAATGATTTATACATGTCCATCACCTCTTACTAAAGAGTGAATGAGAAACTACTCACTCTTCATGGCTTTGAGAAAGCTAGAAAAGTGAGTGATTCTCATCCCTCCAAGGAGAGGAGTTACAAGGTAAAATACATTACACAGTTAGCCTATCTTCGACGAAGAATGAGTGAATCACTTTGCACCCTTCAAGGCTTTGAGAAAGCTAGAAAAGTGGAAGATTTTCACTCATCTAAGGGAAGAGACAAGCTCAAACAAAGGAAGCTAATGAAACTAATAATGAAATAAAAGAAAGCTAGTTACTTTTGGGGGGGTTTTTTCACTTCCAAAAGATGATGTTTTACAAGTTCCAAGGGGAGGTATTTATAGGCAATAAGGGAGGGTAAAAGTCTTGTTAGGCGGCTTGAAATTACACTTTGGTCCCCCATTATTTTGAGCTTTGACAGTTGGCTCCCCTGTAGTTTGTAGCTTTGATAGTTGCCTCTCTTGTAGGTTGTAGCTTTGACGCACAAAACTCAGAAAAGAACAATAATTAATGCATTAACCCTAATTCACACACTAACCCTAATTTGACTTACTTTGATTCTTTTAACTTTGTTTAACTAACACAATTAACCTATTAACTTAATTAATTTATGCATTAATTAGGGTTAATCACACCCCCAACCTAAACATTTCTAGTCCCTACTAATAAATAACAACAGAACAAAATAAAATTACTTTCATAGATGACACGATTGCATTTATCATATGCAACAAGCTGTTAAACCCCTAGGTGATCCCTAGTGGCCGAGTTTTGTCTCTTGAAGATTTCCAATGAAGCAGCCTACAAACTCCAGTTTAACATATGTGTACATGTAAGATTTCTTGTCAGAATGAGTTAGCACCATGATCATTGAGACACCCAACCCTCAATTTCAACTTATCTTCCAAACACTTCTCTTTCATATGTATATACTCTATGAAAAAAAATAAACATTTGTTACATTGGTATTTGAAATTCCCTATGTAATAAGAATAATCATTCTAATGACAAGAATCATTATATAACAAACA